GCTGGCGTGCGGCGGGGCCTCGTAGTCGGTAGCGAGCGGCGATGCCGGAGCCCCCGAGCCGTGGGGGAGGAGGGCTGTTTGGCCGAGGGCTCCCTTTGGGCCTTACAGGGAAACTCCATATTGTTTCCTCCCCGCGGGGCTGGTGCGTTCCCTGCTCGCGTTGCGCAGCTAGGATTGCTGGGCCCCAGCCCTTTTGTGTTCACGGTCACGGGGAGCTGGCTTGGACTGTGCGTGGCTTTGGGGGGGGGGGACGGGGACAGGGAGAGTAAGAAATAATTGAATTATTATTTTACAATTACGGGGCTCAAGTCATTGGCTTCTTTCCCTTACTGCTTACTCCCTTGTCTCTCCCTCAGCCCCCTCTCCCTGCTCCGTAAAACTAGTCCCTCCGACTTGCAGACCCGCCTCGGGGGAACTGCGTTGGAGACGACGGTAACTGTTTTGCGTGTAAAACTGTCAATTGCTAACTGCAATCTGGGAAGTGCTGTAATTAACTCAGCGTGGGGCTCCTCCCAGCTAGTCTACGTTTCGCTCGAACTTTTGAAAATGTAGAAATACAAGTTGCAAATCTAAACTGGGAAGAGGTAGGAGGACTGTTTCCTTTTCTGAGACAGTGCTGCAGTGCAGGTTTCAGTTTTAATTGAGGGGAGCAGTTACCACCTTCCGGTCTAGCGAGACGCCTGGGTGCGTGGTGCGCAGCGGTGGTCACACTGGGAGGCTGCGCCCTTCGTGCTCTCGCTTTGCAAGTTTTCTGGTGTGAACTCCTGGTGCTGCTGATCATAATATAAACCTGTCGATACAGGATACCATTGACTGCCTTGAACTGAAATTAGGTACCTGTTAACCACGATCTGCTTAAGTTAATCCCATTCTGGGAGACTTCGAAATAATATTTCTTTGTGTGTGTGATAATTGAGCAACTTTTCTTTTTAAAAAGACATAAGCATTTTAGAAAAACTTTATTGTTTGAGAAGCCTTAGTGTATGGCAGAAACAACACCAAATAATCTGGCGTATGTTGGGTAAGAAATGTAAAGGAGTTAAAAAGGAACAAACCCGACAGAGCAGGCCTTTATCTTCCATCTGGCCTTTGTAAATTAAGTTTTTATTTACTACATTTTAAAATAAGAATTCGGTTTTGGGAATAATTAAAAATGGAGGCGTTTAACCAGTTCTTTTTTTAAACGATTAATTAGTACTCTGGGTCTCTTGGAAAGTTTGATTAAAGTTACTAGTGTGTTCAGTCTTTCACAGCGGTTTTTTTGTTGTTTTTTTTAAAGGGCAGGTTTTTTTTTATAATTTTTTAAATACTATTTTAAGTTAGATTACTGTTTTTAAAAAGTGTTATATTGAAATGTAGCTAAGTTTTTAGTATTCAAATTTTATGAAGGTAGCTAAAGAGTTTCTTGGCTGTTTTCAAGCAAAAGATTTTGACATGTAGACATGTTTGTATCCTTGCTTCAGTTATTTTAAAGAACAGAAATTGGAAAAAAGAAAATGCATTTTTCTTCATAAAGTTTAACTTCCGTAGTTGAAATTCATAAGGGCACAAATGGGTTTTGTATTTCTAAAAGCATAAGGTTAAGTCAAAAGCTTACATAACTCTTTGAGGATTCTCAGTTGCTGTCAGAAATAGAAAAAAATTGTCTTGCCTAGTACATAGGGAAATTTACTTAAGTTGTGAGATACTTATCTTCTGAGTTGTAATGCAATTAAATGTAGTGAATCATTGACTTAGAGAATTCATGAGGGAGGAAACTGAAGGGGAGAGATTGTCATTTGACAACTATTTTTAATTTAATCACAGTATCTTTTTACCTAATATTCTCTGGGTTGCTTTGAACTGACAATTTACAATGTCTGATTTTGGTCTCATTGTGGGTTTGGTTTTGGGTGTAGTTCATCTTTTTGTGTGTCTGTCTACTAACCTGGCTAATGATTTGATCTAAGTGCAGCTGTAGTCTTAATTCTTTAATTTAAAAGAGAGTTAAGGGAAACAAAGTTTTTTTCTAACCTTCCTGTGTTTGCTAACTTAACTTTTTCTTTGTTTCAGATTGGAGTGAATTCAGATATATAACTCAACCTCATTAGAGAGCTTTTAAAAAAAGTTGATTCGGTGCATGAGAGCAAGTTACTGCTGCTTAACCGTTCAGAGACTTACAGGTGCTTGCCTGCATTGCAATAAAGGACTCAATATTGAGCAAGACTTATATTTATCTCTTCGTTTTGGAGAGCCTAATAAACTGTATTACAGTTTCTCTACTGACTTTCAAAAGTTTTGAAGTTTGGAAGAGACATCTGTACATTTAATACAGCATGAGCACGGCGAGAACAGAGAACCCTGTTATAATGGGTCTATCCAGTCAAAATGGTCAGCTGAGGGGCCCTGTAAAGCCCAGTGGTGGCCCTGGAGGAGGGGGCACACAGACACAGCAACAGATGAACCAACTGAAAAACACCAACACAATCAATAATGGCACTCAGCAGCAAGCACAGAGTATGACCACCACTATTAAGTAAGTGTTAGCATAAGTAACATACTTGAGGGTGGGGGGACAAGGATATTTCTTTTTACTACTTTTTAATGACTATGTATACTTTAACCATTTTGATTGTAAATAGAGGGCACATGGCTTTGTTTTATGGCTAGTAGGTATTTGCAATAGAATGATGTATTTCTGTGATAATTCAGGTTTATTAAATATATAGGTACAGATGGTATATATTAATTTTGTATAGATTATATTTTGAAACATTGCTGGCTTTCATAATTAGCTGAGATTCATCTTGTTTTAGTCAGTATGGTTTTTCCTTAGTGTTATAACTGCACCTTACCCTAGTTTAAATGACACTTAACCTTTAAAAGACGGCATTTAAAAGACAGCATCATACAAACTCCATATATTTTCCAGGATCAACTGTACAAATAATGGCTTCTTTCCTTTTGCCTTTGAGAAAGAACGTATATGCTTAGGTTTCTGAGTATTTAAAGTCAATTTCAAGTTTTAAATTTAAGGACTTGCCAAGCCTTCTGAACTTCAAACATACTCACTCATAGAAAATTTATCCATAACTTTTGTTTTTAGTTTATGCAACTTTGCATACATTTTTTAAAATAAGCTTTTTCCTCTTATACACACACATACACACAATAACATGAGTTAAATATCATAGAATCTCAGGATTTTGAACTCTTGGAAACATCTCTGAATAGCCCCAATCCCCCTTGTTGACTAAAAACTTAAGGGCCTCACCTGACTGCAGAATGTTTTCTTTTAAATCTGGAAGATTGTTGGCTGCCGTTTTTTAAGTGTTCACTATAAATTATTTGAATGGTAAATACCACTCTAAAGATTCAGTTAATAGAAAATTTAAAATCAACCCATTTGAGGTTTGGCTTTAAGAATCTAGCCATATAATTGATTTTATCTCGAGAAATCTAAGATGGTGAAACTGGTTCACTAAACTATTTTGTATTATAACCCAAATCTTTTCCATGCTTAAGAAGCACTTCCAGGATATCATATAGATGGTTACTGCTGTGTGGTTCACTTGCGGCCTATAAGAATTTCCAGTAGAATTGGTTTGGTCACTGGGAGAATTGTCATTAATGCATATTCTATTATTTTTAAGGTGAATGCTTTAATTAGAATATTTTCTAAATTGTAGTTTGTCTTGACAAACTATGAATAGGCTAGCAAAATTTAGGCTATTTTTAATCCTTAAAAACAAATCTGTGTTATCCTTATGAGAGTGTTTTCTACTTAAATTCTAAATTTGAGTCAACAGTGGATTTTACTTTTTTGCTTTTCCTGGGATTAATGGTTTCTTTTCAGTTCTGTGGCTTCTATAAATCTTAGTTCAAGTGTCATCTCCATGAAGGCTTCTAGGTCCCATCAGCTGTTTAGAACTCTTCTAATACTTAATCTCTATCACTTATTTTCTCATTTTATGTAGTTTGGTTTATAAATTCCTTGTGGGCAGTTTTGCATTGTGTCTATCCTCTCTACTTGTATTCAGTGCTGAACTGGACAGTGTGGTAGGCTGGCCTACTAGGATGTTCAGCTGACATGTTTTTGCTCAGAAACTTTGCTGTGGTATAGGCTGAGGCAGAAAGCTTTAGTTAGTACCCTTGGAATTGGTAGCAAATAATTACCTGTGTTTGAGTGTTTTGGATTATGTGGGACCTAGCTTTAAGTAAAGTAAGTGTTCATTTTTCTAAGTTAAGACTTGAAATGTTTTGGGAGCTCTGATTATGAGTGGCTATAATGAAAGCAGTGAAAACTTCTTTTCAAGATAACACAGTTGAAAAGCATTGTTTGCCTTATTGCCAAATTTTTTTTCTATTAGATGCTTTGGATATTATAGTAGAGGTTTTTGCCTGACCTAAAAGAGATTTTTTAAATTATATTTTCCTTGTTTTTAATTCTCTTTCATAGTTTAAAGCATCCCAGGTAAGAGAGATGTTTATTAACAGCTAATATTGAGTTCTTATTTTGCCCAGCACTGTGCTGAGTATTTTATGTAAATTATCTGATATATTTCCTTCTTTTAAAAGTTCATCTTTATTGAAAGTATTACAGATGTCCTTTTTTAAAATCTTAACCTGTTTTATATATGAGAGAATGCAAACTTGGAAAAAATTTCCAACTGCTGCAAGGTCATAAAATTAATAAGTGGTCAGGGCTTGAACTCAGTTCTGAAACTTTGGAGCCCTTGGTTTTAACTAGTCACCAGAAGTTACCAACTCAGATGCCTGTGCCAGATGAGAGGGTACTTGCCCTATTTAAAGGGGTCAGCTGCTTGATTTTAAACTTCATTTACTAAACTCTATCAATCTACTTCCATATAGAAATTTGGAACCAATGTTGCTAAATCTTCCAGTTTTTCAGGAAAAGCCAGAATCTGGACTTTTACACAAAATCTTCTAATTTTTTAATATTGGTAACTAATTTAAATTAAAACACACATGATATGTAGGTTAAACAGATCGCATGGGTTCCTAATTGTGAGAACAGTTGCTCTGTTGTCACACTGTGCTGCTTCTCCTAAGATGGTTGCCCTATTCTTTTTGTTTGTTTTTAATTTTTTGAATGTCTTTATTGATCTCAGAGAGAGGAAGGGAGAGGGAAAGATAGAAACATCAATGATGAGAGTCATTGATCTGCTGTCTCCTGCACGCCCAGTACTGGGATCGAGCCTGCAGCCAGGCATGTGCCCTGACCGGGAGTGGAACTGGACCTCTTGGGCCCTAGGTCTTTGCTCAGTTGCTGAGCCGGCTGGCCAGGCATATCGTATCCCCTCTAGTCTTGATATTTTTTATCCCCCCTAGACTGTTTCCTTTGTAAGAAGAGGAGTTTTTCTAAAGTTGTTTATCTCTTTTAACTATATATTTTTATATAATAGATTTTTAAAAAATTGATTCGAGAGAGAGAGAGAGATAGATAGATAGATATTGATGTGAGAGAAACATCAACTGGCTGCTTCTTACAGGCGCCTGACCAGGAAGAAACCCTGCCATCTTTTGGTGTGTGGGATGGTGCTCCAACCAGCTGAGCCCCAGTGGCCGGGGCTGTTAACTATATTCTTAAGTACATGCCAAGATATTAAACTTACTGTGCTTTTTATAACTTAATTACAATCGAGATGAGTTATCTTTGTATTACAATAGTGATGCTGTGAATTCTGATACTTCAATTTTGCTACGTTCTCTCTAGACCTGGTGATGACTGGAAAAAGACTTTAAAACTCCCTCCAAAGGATCTAAGAATCAAAACTTCGGTAAGTTGGTTGTAAATTTAACTTAAAATGGTATGGAAACTCTGCAGGTGAAGTAGTTACTTAATGCTAGGCACTGTGTGCTCATTCTTCACTTGAGATGGTTGAAATTGTGTTGTTGCTGAAATGTTTCACTATTTGGAGGAATTATTAATAATGTGTCTACACACTGATATTTTGTTTATATGTATGTGTATCATCTAATTTATGAATAATGGTTTTCAAGGTATATTCTCTCTTGTTCAGTAAGATTGAGGCCAGGTGTTGTCTCTGTTTTGTGGATGAGAAAATAGAAGTTGATGGGTTAGCTCTTAGCCCAGTATTTTCAACCAGGGGGTATTTAGCAGTAGCTAGAAACATTTTTGGTTATCACAGCTGGGGAAATGCTATAAGACAGCCTCTTAAAACAGTGAATTTTCTGGTCCAAATGTCAGTTTGCTGAGCTTGAGAAACCCTGATTTTGACCAGGATACTGCAGGCAGCAAGTGGTGGAGCTAGGGTTTAACGCCATGTCTTGGCAATGTTCGTTCCACAGCATGGTTCTTCCAGCCTTCCACCTGTTCCTCAGAAGAATACGAGCACAGGGTAGCCTTTCCCCCAACACAGTTTTTAACTGGCTTGTGTGTGAGAGAGAGAGTGGTTATTCTGCAGGAATAGTTGAAATACAGATCAAGATAGAGCTGATCTGCATATATTTATATTTTAAATGGGATAGAGAATTAGTCTCTCAAACAAACTTTCTTAAAGCATTCTAACAAAGGAACACAGCTATGCTTTATTCTTTTATTGTTTTGTTTGGTTGACTAGGATGTAACCTCCACAAAAGGAAATGAGTTTGAAGATTACTGTTTAAAGCGGGAGTTACTGATGGGAATTTTTGAAATGGGCTGGGAAAAGCCATCTCCTATTCAGGTATGTTTCCCCTTTTTATCACATGTGTAATGTTATGAATGGAGCATTACCTACTTTTTGATATGTGGGATGATAAAATGAATCAATATTTCTCGTGTGTGTACACACCCACAAAGATATACATGCACATGCACTTTCTCTGAACCTTTTAAGGGTAAATTACAAAATCATGGCCTATCACCTCTAAATATTTCAGCGTGTTTCCTAAGAACAGAGATACTCTGTTGTATAACCATAGTGTAGTTATCTGCAGTCAGATTAACATTAATACTATATTGCTGTATCACCTGTCATTTGTAGTCTAATTTTTAATCGACCCTACAATGCCCTTTTTTGCATTTTTTCTCTTCTGTCCAAGACTCATCCTAGGATAGGGTATTGCCCATAGTTGTGTCTCTTTAACCTCCTTAATGCGCATCTCCCTGGTCTGTTTTAGTCTTTTATGACACTGACATACTAAAAACTTAGCCCCTTTCCTTTTTTAAATAGAACATTCCTCATTTTGGGTTTCTCATGTTTCCATGTGATTAAAGTTAATACATTCTTAGCCAGAATACTGTAGAAATCATGTTATGGCCTTCTTGGTATCACATCTGGATGTATATACAGTGTCTGTTTGTTTCTCATTGGTGATTTTAATTTTGATTACCCTGTCATGGTGGTGTCTGATTTTTCTACTGTATAATTGCAGCTTTTTTCCTCCACCCTTGAAACTAATCAGTCTATAGGCATCCCTTTAAGATCATGCAGAGATCTTACTCTTCATCAAAGTTTCTCCTTGAGTTTTAGCATCCATGGATGATCCTATCTCTGTTGGGTTATGATGAGTTTCCAACTCTAGGACTCCTTCCACATTTGGCCTTTTAAAGAAGAGCCTTCCCTTTTCTCCTCCTTATGTATCTTATCAGTATGGAGTCATGAATTCCTTTTTTCCCCCCAATGATATTTTTGTGCTCAGACTCCCAGATTTGGGCAGTGTGAGCTCCTTCAAGGTTGTTTTGTAATGTGCCCCCCCCCTTTTTTTTTTGGATAGACTATTTTTTAGAGCAGTTTTAAGCTCTCAGCAGTTAAGCAGAAGATAGAGATTTCCTATATGCCTCTGTCCCCACTTAGGCATAGCCCTCCCCC